GACCAACGGTTCGGAACTGCCCAAATCCACAAATGCCCTAGTGGTTGTGTCTATTAAAGTGAGCTCAAGCAAACCTGGTGAACTGCACTCAACTGGATTATCTATCATTGTCTCCAGAAAAAACTATGTCTCCCTCTCAATGTCGGACGTCAATCAGTTAATAAATAATAATGTTTGGTGAATCAGAAGTAGCTCATTATGAAGTAACAGCTCCAGCTCCACAGGGACATTTGACCGGATGACGTAAGCCGTGGTAACAGAGACGGTGCATCTTCAGGGAACTGAGGACACTCTGTCACAACGTTACCAATAAAGACTTACAGATAAAACAAAGATCACCACTGATTGCACATTTCTAAAAATACCAACCAACTATAATGCACCGTGGCCTCGATTTCAGCAATTGACCCTTAAAAAAACTGCTTTTCATATTGTCGTTATAGAAGTCCCCTGCTACTTTGCTAACTTCTATTTGGAATTAGTTTTTAATTCCTCCTAATGGCCGCATTGAATGTTCTGGCAAAGATAAGGACCTAGGGAGTTGTGCATGTGTGTGTGTGCACAATAGTGGCAGAAAGTGTGACTCCAGTGTTTATGACTCACTGGGGAGAATATACACTCATAAATCAGATCGTTTACTGCGCTGCAGAGTACAAACTCTAAAAGTGGAAGTTACACCTACTGGCTTGGACTGATGATTCACAGGGAGGTCTGGTCTCCCAGAGGTCAGAGGTCAAAGCCTAATAGTGGTGCCTACATTTTCGAGTGCTGTCTGAATGGCTTGTTGAGATTTTTTGAAGATTTTCTTTCAAACAATAATTGTCCTCACCCATAATTTAGCTCTTAGATTTCTTGTAGGAGTTTAATATAAATTCATTATTTTTCATTTTCTGATATATATTTCTATGAACTGATATTGCACATCACTCTCACACTGAATGAATAGAGTGTATTTTCATGCTGTTTTCGGTCTCTGTAAGGTACTACACTGATTAAATAATACTCTAAATAATACCTCTAAAACAATGCTAAACAGCGTTGTTCCCCCAATTCAATCTTATTTTCTCCTCTGCTTAAATACCTATCAAACCCCTCCCACCTTCCGTTTTTTCATCTGTAGGAGGTCACATCTGTCCTGATAACTGCTGCTTGAGGTTTGTGAAGCTGCCACGCTTTTTTCTCCCTGTGTGGGATCACCTCAAAATGCCTGACATTCCCAAATGCCGTCTTTGCTGAAACCCTCATGGGTCAATTGCATCACTGTTACTTTGCATGGCCAACAAAGGCATTGCACTCCCTGAGATTGTGTTTGTGAGCTAGTGCTTCTCTGTCAGCACTGAAGTTGATCAGCCTCCAAAAGGTTCTGACCCCGACGTGATTTGAACACGCAACCTTCTGATCTGGAGTCAGACGCGCTACCGTTGCGCCACGAGGTCTTTCTGCTGCACTGGATAATTGATCAACTTGAGCTGCTAGTATTCCCCTGTGGGAATTGGAACACTTGCAGAAGCTGATGCGGCAAACATAAAACACACACACGCACACGCACACACACACACACACACACACACACACACAGGCAGATGTTCTCTCTTTCTCACACACGCTTTCTTACATCCTCCCCCCTTCCCCACTCACCTCCAGGGCACGAGTCTTTGTGTGGTCTTCAACGGCAACCCACTCCGGTATAAAGGCACAGATAATGGGGCGAAGAGAGCTTTTGTATGAGCTTATGTTGCTAGTGTGTGTGTGTGTGTGTGTGTGTGTCGCAGAGAAAAAACACTGTAGTGTTTTCCCTCACTGTCTGCAGTGTATTGGTTCAGAGGATACCCGATCAGACTAGTGTTTCTCATGCAATGTATGAATGGATGAATAGAGCAGAATAGTGACTCAACAGGTTACTGTGGCGGGAGCTAAATCACCGGCGGACAAAACACACACTCCACATCCTGCATATCTGCTCGTACCGGCTTTGCTCCACACAAGTATTTCTGCCTGTGTAGACCTGCTCAGTAAAAACAGATTGGTGATTGTTCTGTCATGTAAAGCCACCAGGTCACTTCTTTTATGTTTTGTGTGTTCAATGTTCCTCCGTGGCGTTTGCAACATTGTACCACGCACCTTACCAGATCTAAAGGTTCAGACGCAAAAGCAATCCAAGGCTGCAACGATATTTGAAACACATTCTGAGTATACATTTGTTGAGTGATGATATTTGATCATCTTTTGGACCTTTTGCTCCAACCTTGTTATGAAGTTTGCAAGGTCTTCAGGAGGCTGATACCAGTCACGAGTCATATTTTCCATTTTAATCCCAGTGCTGGCAGCAGTTGTTTTCATTGTGTCATGGTCAGGTACTTTCATTGTTCAAGCCAGTAATGTAACTTGGGAGAGGGTTATAATCACAGGTTGCACTGGTTTCCATAGGTTTTCGATGATCTTCTTGTTTGCAGTGAGGTGGAGAACCATATACACACACACGCCTCAGTTGTTTATCAAAGCTGAACTTCGTTACTAAAATAATACACTAGTGGCCAGTGTCTCTTTTATAAACATATAGTGACATACCAAGTTCCTCTCAGGATTTGAATGATGATGTGCTCTGGAAATGGACAAGAGAAAGTGATGAGAACAACAACAGTTTGCACGTTACATAACATTGGTCATGAAGTGCTGTTTAGTTATTTTTATTCCATTGCGAATTAATTGGATATTTCAATACAATTCAAGGCTGAGAATCCTTAAAGACATGTCGCCCTACATGTTCTCAAAGGTAGCATGAGTTTAAAGTATTGGATGGAAAGAATGACTTATACTAAGAAGTAGACTAAAGAGGGAATTTGACCATTGATTTTTGTCAGGTGAATGGCTAACATTGTATCTTCATAGGGGGTCTTGCTAATACTTGAGTGATGTTGCACAATGCATTGATACCAAAAATGCACCGTGGTACCCGTATGTTAAGAACAATACGGTTGAGCATATTTTTTGTATTGATACAAGCATGCTCACTGCTACACTCCCTATCAGGATCAAGCTGGTAAAAACAGGATCAAGCTGGTAAAAAATTGAACCCTACTTAGGTATTACTATTATAGATAAATATACGTGTATCATCTGGTATTTGTGGTTATCAAATTGTATTCGTGGTATTCTCTCAAATTCTGGTATCGTAAGTATTGGATCTCATGATATTTAATGCAGGTATTGTATTGAAGTCATAATTTTGATATTGTGACAACCCAACTTATCCACCAAGAAAAAAAACAACCTTGAGCTGTGTGTGTGTGTGTGTGTGGTATTTACACCACAGGATTCAGAGGTGAACCCTGAATCACACTCGGACCCAATCCCGGCTAGTGATGGATTCTCTGCTAATACTCTCGATGATGAAGATTGCTGTCAAAGCGGCGCTGACTTGGCTCCCAACAAACATTTTAACCAAGTCAAATCCAAATTGTCCTCGTTAAATGCTTTCCTCCCACCCACAGAGCGTTTCTGGGATTAATTTATGTGGCTGAGCTTCTGTCAGAGACATATTTGGTCCTCATAATCCATCCGAGGAACAAGTCTGGCTGAGGACCATGCCGGACGGACACGGGGCGTGTCAACATCTGACCATTTTCTTCCCCTGTTTCACGCTGAGGGTCATTTTGTGGTCTATAAATGTAGTTCTTCCTATGGATTGTCAGTAGTATGTTATATATAGTGGTGGTATGATAGTGAAGCTTTCAGTGGCCTTTACTAACATTGCAGCAAAATCATTCTCCCATTACCTCCGATTCCATGTCTGGTCTTTTGTGAGTGTTCCCAATGAACTTGCCATCTTTTCCTTGCTAATAACCTCATAAGGAAGAGAAATACCACACAGTTATTCCCCTCATGATTTGGGCCATTTTGCCTGGTGAACCGCATTGGAGTTCAGTACAACAGAGCTGTGCATGAAGGCATTTAACCACAGAACCAAAGACGGCTCAGTTTGGAAGGAAAGGAGACGGAGGAAATGGACAGAGAACAGAATCCAGACAAAAGAGGGAGGAAGGCGGAAAGACGCTGAGCTGAATGCTTACTCTTTAAACTCCTGTCTGATGGAAGGAGGACAAAAAGGACATTCCGTTCACGGTGTTTACAAATCGGCCAACATTCACACTATGAAGCTGCTTTACAAATCCAGTCATTTCCTCCAAACACAATTCTGTTCTACAAAGGCGAAACAGAGAGCTACGTTGTAGAAGTTAAGTCTTAAATCGTAATCATAATAAATATATATTATACCATAGAAATGATTCATATCTATAGCTCAATAGAAAAAAAATGCCCCAACTCCTTGTAGAGTTAGCCACAGTGACTTATATTCAATCAAATATGAACGTTAGAAGCCAACAAACAGACAATGACCAGCATAGCAGACAAACTAATGATCATATGACCTGCACCTCCATGTAGCACACCACTCACACAATAGGATTAACTAAGTCTGTGTAGATATTCAACACTAATGTAAACACTCAGCATTCATCATAATTTCATAAAAAAAACGTTTTTTTTCCCCATTGGATTGATTCCACTTTGTATAATGTAGTGGGTTGACGTGGGACTTAATCTGTACTACGTGAAGCTATGACGTATGCATGAATAATATTCATGTGCGGACGCATTGAAGGGGGTAACACTTTTTGAGCTGCATGAGAGTTTTATCTTGCCACTGAATGCTTACTACACAGTAGAAGAATATTTCATAACTGCTACCATGATGTCCATCCATAACTCTGTCCGAGCCCCCTGTGTGCCAGCTGACCGGATCATTATTTAAGCCACGTGGTGATTGGATCAGCTGATTACTGAGGAGACACAAGCTGCTAATTCCTCTGGCCTTGCCATGCTAATATGTCATATGGCTTCACTTATAGGAGGCCTCAAATCCTCTATATGGTGCAAATACAGCTAATCTCATTCCAGAGCTAATTCTTTTTTTCTTTTTCTTCTTCTTCTTCTTCCAGGACCCCAGCTACTGGGTCCAAGTCCACAGGTTGGAACATGGAGATGGAGGCATTTTGGACCTGGATGACATGCTGTGCGACGTGGTGGACGACAAAGATAGGGTGAGCTGTTGTGTGTGTGTGTCACGGTGTGGTTTCACGTCCTGTTGTATTTTGTAGTTTTCTGCCACTCGTGTCCCCGGGTAACTTCACTTCCTGCCTTGTCCCGTCATCCCCTGTGATTGTCTAATAGTTTCCATCTGTGTCCAATCACCTGCACCTCCCTTGTGTATTTAAGCCATGTGTCTCCTGTGTCACTTGTCGCGTCATTGTCTTTTGTCACACATGTTGCCTGCTGCGTTTCCTCCCGGTTCCTGTGTTTTTGAACATTGACTATTAAAGTCCTTTGTGTTCCTGTTGAACTCTGCGTCTGAGTCCTGCCTTCCACCCAGCAACCCTGACAGAATGACGCGACCAAGAAGGGACTCAGCAGAGTTTTTTCCCCTGGACGAGTTCAGGGGAACCCGTCTGGCAATGGGCGGTCCACGGAGTCTCCAGCGGGCTGCTGGTAATGGGGGAACGGTCCTCCCGGGGGTTCCAGCTGGGTACCTGTATTACTCAGTCTCCCCGTCTGGAGCCCTCACTAGGCATCTGGGTCACCATCCGCCGCCTACCACATGGTCCCCAGAGGAGGAGGCCATTTCGTGGTCGTCCGGCGGCGATTCGCACTGGGAGCGGGTAATGGACCTTGCGGTCCGACTACAGGCAACCTATGCTCCCCACGCTCGGCCGCAGCGCACAATGTCCAGCGCTGGGCCGCAGCGACTTCCCGACCCCGCTCGGTCGCAGCACACAATGTCCAGCGCTGGGCCGCAGCGACTTCCCGACCCTGCTCGGTCGCAGCGCACAATGTCCAGCGCTGGACCGCAGCGACGTTCCGACCCCGCTCGGTCGCAGCGCAAGATGTCCCGCGCTGGGCCGCAGCAGATTCCCGTCCCGGCCTCCCGACCCAAGCCCATGACCCCTGAGCCAGTGCCACGATCCATGCCCCCGACTTCCGAGCCAGTGCCACGATCCATGCCCCCGACTTCCGAGCCAGTGCCACGATCCATGCCCCCGACTTCCGAGCCAGTGCCACGATCCATGCCCCCGACTTCCGAGCCAGTGCCACGATCCATGCCCCCGACCCCCGAGCCAGTGCCACGATCCATGCCCCCGACACCCGAGCCAGGACCGCATTCATGATCCCCGACCCAGAAGCCCTGCCGGCAGTCCTGCAGACGACCTCAAAGCCGCCCTCCAGATCGTCGTCCAGGCCGTCTTCCAGATCGTCCTCTAGACCGTCCTTCCAGATCGTCCTTCTTATAAACTCCCGGTCCCCTCGACTGTGGTCCCCCGGAACTGCCCCCTCCTTCCCATCCCCATATTGTGTTTAG